CCCCCCCTCCAGACACGAGGAAATTTTCCCATCTGCTGCTTAAGCCACATCTACAAATCAGAGCAAGGAGTGTTTTCACGTCTGTGTAATCAAGAGGACTCTTCTACTACCTGGGACCGCTTTCTCAGAAGTGCCTGCTGCTCCTGCCACCTCCAGTGTAAACACACACTTACTTCAGTTCACTTCGTGACCAGATCCTCCAAAAGGAGAATAATTCCAGAACCGAGAGTAACATGGCATTGACGATGAGAAAACGTGATGTCCAGTAATGGACCTCCAGCCAGTCCCAAGCAAATTCAGCAATCAGCTGGTATGGAAGGAAGGAGTATTTGACGAGGAATTCTCTCCATTGCTTCCAGGTGGGCTCTCTTAGATCCTTTAGAATAACATAAAAGCAAGCAAAAGGTGGACACGAAAAATCATCAGGATTGACTCTTACAGACTATACTGCAGTCATCACGGTGAACTTTACATTTACTAAAACACACAGATATCCAACAACATAACACGAAATTTTCCACCCATCGACTCACCTTTTAAGAATCTTATACTGGATAAATGTTACTGAGGAAGCTGAACAGAGATGCTGGTTATGGAATTGTGGAAGCTCAGAAGTAAAAGTAAAAAAAACTCCAAAGCCTGAGATAAATAATGAGGGTGCAGGGGCGCCAGGGTGGCTCAGTCAGTGGAGCATCCGACTTCAGCTCAGGTCACGATTTCATGGTTCTTGAGTTCGAATCCTGCGTCGGGCTCTGTGCTGACAGCTCGGGGCCTGGAGCCGGCTTCGGATTGTGTCTCCCTCTCTCTGCCCCTCCCCCACTCATGCTTCTGTCTCTGTCTCTCTCTCTCTCTCAAAAGTAAATAAACATTAAAAAATAAAATAAAAAAAATAAATAATGACGTTGCAATGAATGGAAATTAACCAGTTTTAAAATTTCTTCATCACTGCATGGGTAGCTCAAACGATTTCCTAAATTCAACATCTTTGCTGTGGTAGGATAACAGATCATGGGAAAATTCAACATACACTTTGAAAAAGTAATTTTGGGGAAAATAAAAAACTCACTACAGTTATTAGCAGATAATAAACCAGAGCATTTAAACAACTCATCGAGGCATCCAGAAGGCTTACGGAAGTGTAACAGGACTGTGCACTATGGAGCAGATACTAAGTATCCCAAGAAGAAAGTGAGCCTCGTGAGCACAGGGGTTGTTGAGGCTTGTGAAAACGGAAAGGTAAGAGGTGGGGTCTCTGTTCTCCCAGTCCAGAGAGGGCAGGTAATAGCAGGAAACTGGGTAATTAGGCAAACACTGTGCCTAAGGGCTAATTAGCAGGCTTTCAACTACATCCAAGGCTCAAGTCAGGCAGATACCTGACTTTAGTATTTTAAAAAGGGTTTTTGGAGATTTAGAAATTCGTAGTTTTGTTTTTTTAAGTTTATTTGAGAGAAAACATGGTGTGTGCACGTGTGAGCTGGGGAGGGGCAGAAAGAGGGGGAGAGAGAGAATTCCAAGCAGGCTCCATGTGGTCAGTGCAGAGCCCGACACGGGGCTTGATCTCATGAACCGCCAAGATCGTGACCTGAGCTGAAATGAAGAGTCGGATGCGTGACCGAGGGAGCCACCCCGGCACCCCTAGAAATTATTTTAACATTTATGGGTGTGGATCATACACGATGCTTCCTACATCCATGTGACTTTTAATTTAAATAGATCAGAGGGACTGCCCCAAGAGCAGCAATGCAAAGGACAGTACCCTGCAATGACCAAGCAGACACAGAGACAGCCCTGTGTAAGTGGGATCCAGCAACAATTCTGAAGACACAAAAGCCAACGTGGATACCTATCTCTGCCAGGGGCCTATGGTCAGCTGAGGTGACCACTCCCATCAGTGAGCTGGACAATGGCTTACTTTTCTGAGGCCCCCAGGATGGATGCTAACCCTCCCTTGCAGTGGGACAAATGATCATCCTTCGGGGATCCTCTTCGAGACAGACCACCAAGCTGGAAGGTCCATAAATTTAACCCTCAGGCAATCTGAACTTATTCTATCTTCTTTTATAACAAAAGCGATGCTGGTTTTTCCCCCCGTAAATATTTCAGGTCCAGAGGGTAGCCTTCTTGTTACGCAATGCAGGAAATAAAACAGGCTTCTGGGAGTGGGGAAGTTCTGCTTGATTTTCTTTTGGAGGGGCTCTCCTTGCAAAAAACAAATGAAGGCTGGGCGTCGTTGGCTCTTCTGTGACAGCTACAGCCCCGTCTCCAATTCCATACCGCACCAAGGAGTGCCATTCAAGGCACTGTGCAGACCTACCAGAAGCTTGGTGATGATGTCCTCCCCAGAATTGTCTTCCTGCAGGGGGCAGATGGTGTGGATGAAGGGCAGGAAGGTGTCTGTGTAGTCAAATAGGTAGAGGTATAGCAGACCAAGTCTCGGGGAGCTCTTGAGGGCATACAGCAGGAACAGGGACCTGCCTGGGTTCACCGCCTGCAGAGGACAAGGCGAGCGTGGGGTCACATCACAACCACGGCAGCCAGCTCCCCACCCATGCTCCCTCCACAGTCTCACGCCCTTTGCCTTCAGCTTTTCTGTGTGTGGTTTGAATGAATGGATGAATGAATGGGTGGCAAGAAGAGGCCAAGGAATCAATCTGTCGGGCTCTATTTAATAAAGACCCAATCCTTCTCCATGGCTTTGGTGTGTGCGTGTGGGGGAGGTAGGGGGGTGCTGAGACATACACTCCCAGGCGCTGCTAGTAAAACCCAACTTTTTTGGAAAACAATTTTGTAAAATGTATCAAAGAGTCTTCAAAATGTTCAATTTAACCAATGTATTAGTGGGCACCGCTTAAAAGGAAATCAGAAATACAGAAGGCTTTATGCACAAAATGTTTCGTGCTGCACTGTAAGAGAGAAAAAGTGAAATCTGAGAGCTAAGTAATGAAGTTACAGTGGATGTTCAGCACAGAGTTCACGCAGCCCATTGAAAAGTGAATATGGGCATTTTTGGATGATGCTCTTGTTACAGTGTTAGGTGAAAAAAGGATTCCAAGACATGTGGCAATCCGATCTCTGCGGTGTCAGCCCCACACAAACCAGGCCTCTTTCGTGACCTTTCCTAGAGCAGCACCTGGCTCACAACAGATATAAAGATTTGTGGAATGAATACATAAACAAAAGCACAATTAAACTACGCACAAAAAAACTGTCTAAGAAGACAGAGCAAAATGCAACGTTAGCCATGTCTGGCTCTCAGGTGGGATTATGGGCCATTTATTTTCATTTTTATCACTTTGGTCAATTTTGCTACAAAGAACGTGTATTTATGTTTTTCCTGATTGTAAAAGTAACTTCAGACGATTCTGTTTACTTGGTGCTACTAAGCATCAAATAAAATGGCCAAAAGATATGAATGGCCACTTCACCAAGGAAGATACAATAAAATAAGCACATAACAAGATGCTCAAGAGAAAGAGAAAACGGAACCAGTTTTCCACATTAGCACCGCGTACTTTATTTGATGGGGAGGGGTGGGGAGCAGGGATCACAGAGGGGCAGGAGGTGGCTTTGGGGACAGATGAGTATGTTCGTTAGCTTGATTGTGGTGATGATTTCACAGGTGTGTGCAGTATGTCCAAACTTACCAAATTGCTGAATGCGGAAAGATGATGTGGTGTATATACACACCATGGAATATTACTCAGCCATAAAAAAGAATTAGATTTTGCCATTTGCAACAATATGATGGACCTCCAGGGTATTATGTTAAGTGAAATTAAGTCACACAGAGAAAGACAAATACCAATGATCTCACTCATATGCGGAATTTAAGAAACAAAACAAACAAACGAAGAAAAAAAGAGACAACCCAGACTCCTAACTGCAGAGAACAAACTAATGGTGACCAGAGGCGGGGGGGTGGGCGGGGGGGGGGGGGGGGGGGGGGGGGGGGGGGGGGGGGGGGGGTGTGAAGCAGGATGGGGATTAAAGAGTACACTTATCTTGATGAGTCCCGAGTAATGCACAGAATCGTTGAATCACGATCACTGAAGCTAACATAACAATGTACTTTAATTATACTGGAATTTACAGAAACTTATCAAATTATACATTTGAAATATGTGTATGTTAACTGCAGCTCAATGAAACTGTTAAAACACATTCAACTTATTTGATGCTATTAATGGCTTACTGTTAAATGTTAAGAAAAGAGTCCTTCTCTTCAGAGATTTACACTCAAGTATTTCAGGGTGAAATAATATGATGCTTGGCTATGCTTTAAGATAACCCCATGCATTGCGGGTGTGTGGGGTGTGTAAGAGTGGGTGGAGGGGTGTGTAAAAATAAGAATGGCCACTAGTCAATACTCACTGAAGCTGGACAGGTGTATACTCTTCTATTTCTGCATGCACCTGAAATTCTATAGCAAAAAGGTTTTTTAAAAAGGCCCAACCTATGAAATGGCTGATTTCAGGTCTGGGATAGAAAAGGTACAAGAATAACTTGAACATCCTGTCACATAAGGAAAGAAAGTATCTGGATAGCAACACGCAAAAGAATGAAAATGGACCACTTTCTTACACCACACACAAAAATAAATTCAAAATGGACTCAAGACCTAAATGTGAGACCCGAAGCCATAAAAATCCTAGAAGAGAACACCGACAGTAACTTCTCTGACATCAGCCATAGCAACTTTTTCTAGATATGTCTCTTGAGGCACGGGAAACAAAATAAAAAATGAACTATTGGGAGTACATCAAAATAAAAAGCTTCTGCAAAGTGAAGGAAACCATCAACAAAACTAAAAGGCAGCCTATAGAATGGGGGAAGATATTTGCAAATGACATATCTGATAAAGGGTTAGTATCCAAAGTGTATAAAAAACTTATAAAACTCAACACCCAGGGGCACATGGGTGGCTCAGTTGGTTAAGTGTCTGACTCTTGATTTCGGCTCAGGTCATGACCTCTCAGTCAGTGGGCCCTGTGCTGGGTGTGGAGCCTGGTTAAGACTCT